TCATTCAGATGTAAATTCATATACCATAAAATTCGCCTATTTAAAGTGTACAATTCAGAGTTCAATCATCACACAATTACTCGGAACATTTATCATCCCATAACGAAACTTTGCACCCTTTGGCATCCATTCCCATTGCCCTCAACCTTAAAATATTTTTAAAAACTGTTTAAGGGTTAAATGACTTGGCCCCGACCGCATCCCTACCTCGGTGTTTTTACCTTTTAACATAATTTTGAATACCCAAGTCTGCCGTCAGGATCTATACAACCTCATGTAACCTCTTCTCTTGCTCAATTCACTTTAGTACTGTGGTCCTTTAGGTCTTTTCGGTCTTTTCAGAGATGTTGTTGTTTGTGTTTCCACTAGAAATCTCAGCTGTTAGCCGGCCGACCAGACATCAGGGCTCCACGAAAAGATACTTTTTATCTAGAGAAGATCTATTCAGCCTTTTCACCCCACCTAGTTGCTTTTAGCTTCCTGATTTCCTTTATAGCTTTTACACAATCTAAAAAAATTTTATTACTTATTATCCATCTTGTTTCACACGTGCTAAACAAAGGAACAGATTATGGTCACTGTTACCTCTACTGTTGAATGTTCAGTACCTGGCTGGGTGCTGTGGCCCGCACCTATATCCCAGCACTTTGGGAGGCGAGGCAAGTGGGATCACCTGGATCAGGAGTTCGAGAGCAACCTGGCCAACAGGGGGAAACCCCATCTCTACTAAAAGTACAAAAAATTAGCGGGCACATGTGGGTGCTTGTATTCTCAGCTACTCGGCGGCGGAGCCAGAGAATCCTTGAACCCAGGAGGTGGAAGTTGCCACATGAGCTGAAATTGTGCCATTGCACTCCAGCCGGGCACCAAGAGTGAAACTCTGTCTAAAAAAAAAAAAAAAAAAAACACACGATGGGCGGGCACGGGTGGCTCCACCTGTAATCCAGCAAATTCGGGAGGCTGAGGCGGGTGGATCACGAGGTCAAGAGATCGAAACCATCCCGGTCACATGGTGAAACCCCATCTCTACTATAAAATACAAAAATTAGCTGGGCATGGTGGCGCGTGCCTATAGTCCCAGCTACTCAGGAGGCTGAGGGAGGGGGAATTGCCTGAACCCAGGAGATGGAGGTTCTGATGAGCCGAAATAGCCCACATGCACTCCGTCTGGGTAACAACGAGGCCAAAACGGTCCCAAAAAAACAAAAAAAAAAAGGAAAAAACAAAAAAGTCAAAAGAATGTTCGTACCTAACACATAGTAGGTGCTCAATAATATTTTCAATAAGTGGAGGCATGGGGAACGAGAAAAAATAAGTGTTTTAGGTGAACTCCTAAATGGTTGAGCAAGGCTGCAGTATAGGTTCGGGCCAGAGTTGATGTGGAGAGGAGAGGACTTTAAGAGCTTCTAATAATAAGGAGAGCTTACATTTATCATGAAGGCAAAGACAAGCCATAAATCATTTTGAGTAAGAGGATGGCATTACATTTGATTTTTTAAAATTCCTTTCGGCCAGGTGTGGTAAAATGCTTGTATGACAGCATTTTGGGAGGCTGAGGTTTGGAAGAATTCCCTTGAGACCCAGGAGTTAAGAGCGGCCGGTGCACCATGGTGAAACCCCATCTCTACATCAAAGTACCAAAATTAGCCAGGAGTTATTGCATACACCTGTAGTCTCAGCTACTTGAGGAGCTGAGGCAGGAGAATTCCTTAAGTCAGGTCAAGGCTGCCGTGAGCTGTGAGCACAGCACCTGCACTCTAGCATGGGCCCAGAGTGAGACTCTACCTCAAAAAAAAAAAAAAAAAAGGCCGGGAAAGGTGGCTTACACCTGAGGTCGAGATCATTCTGGCCAAGATGGTGAAACCCCATCTCTTAAAAAAAAAAAAAAATCACTCTGGAGATGATGTGATAAACAGATTAGAGAGAAACAGATGGGATACAGTGTAGTCAGAAAGATTAGTCATGAAGACACTGCAGGGATCTAGGGGAGAAATAATGGGGTAAAAGGGAACAAATTAATGTAATGAATGTAGAGGCAATAGTAATGGAGAGAGGATGTAGACTCCCACATATCTCACTTACATAAGTTTGGTTTTCTTTTTTTTTTTTTTTTGAGACGGAGTTTCACTCTTGTTACCCAGGCTGGAGTGCAATGGCACGATCTCGGCTCACCACAACCTCCGCCTTTTGGGTTCAGGCAATTCTCCTGCCTCAGCCTCCTGAGTAGCTGGGATCACCATGCCCAGCTAAGTTTTTGTATTTTTAGTAGAGACGGGGTTTACCCATGTTGACCAGGATGGTCTCGATCTCTTGACCTAGTGATCACCTGCCTCAGCTCCCAAAGGGCTGGGATTACAGGCGTGACCACCACGCCCGGCCAAGTTTGGTTTTCATATAGGAACCTGAAGAAAATACCTTGAAAATTTTTCTCACGTTATACTTAGATTCTTTAAAAATTAGGTTTAGTTCACTATTTACAGATAGAGAACTTCAGTAGAGGGAAGCAGATGGACTCTGGGATATTCTCCTGAATTGGCCAACTGTCAAGATCACCTCATGGGTTTGTAAAATCTTATTCAGAGGTGGGTAAGAGTGAAACTGTAGCAGGAGTGGCCACGGGAAATGGATCTCTGGAACTCTGAAGGAGAAGGAGAGAAGTTTATTCGGCCGGGGAGCCTGATCGATACTTGTCCAAAAGCTCAGCTTGTCTAACAAAGGAAGGTTCTGCCTTTATACAGGCTTATACTTTAGATTACCCGTGGAAGAATCTTGGGTTTACAGTCTTAGAATCACATAGGAAAAGGGTTTGGTTCACACCTTCAGGAATCAAATGTGAAAGGGTTCTAGTACAGTTTTAGGACCCAGAATCACATAGGAAAGAGTTTGGTTTACGGCTTCAGGAATCCAATATTGAAAGGGGTTTGGTTTACAGTTTTAGGACTCACGGTGAAAAGGTTTCGGTGATATGTTGTTAAAGTAAAAGCAGGGTCTTCCGGATATTTTCCCCAAGACCAAGACTGCCACCTACAGGAAGGTGAAACAGGAGGCGCTGCCAGGTGGTCAGACCTTTTCTTCTATTGAATGCAGTGTGTGGATAGTCAAAGGGGAAGCTGATCTCAGGTGCCTGGTCTCCTTCCTCAGAAAGGAAGAAAAAAAGAAGAAGAAAGAAAGAAGGAGACCCTAGAACAGAATCTTGGTAACAAGACATTTAAAGGAAGGAAGACAAAGAGAAAGCAATAAAGGAGGCTGAGTAGGAGTGTCTAGGAGAAAAAAAGAAAGCCAGGACAATGAGAAGAGAGTTACAAGAGCCATTGCTCAAAGGTGCTTCCTTCCGTAAAATAACACCATATTACCTTACCTAGGAGTCCTAGAGTTAAATCATTATCAGAGTCCGGATTTCCTAAAATACACAGAAGCAAAAATTGTTGGGTGGACCCTATGATCTGCATTTTATCCTTTTTTTTTTTTTTTTTTTTAATTTTGTGACAGAGTCGTGCTCTGTTGCCCAGGCTGGAGTGCAATGGCATGATCTCAGCTCATTGCAAAACTCTGCCTCTCAGTTCAAGCAATCTCTGCCTCAGCCCACTAGTATAGCTGAATTACAGGCAAGCATCAACTACCGGCTAATTTTGGTATTTTTTAGTAGAGACTGGGTTTCATGTGTTGGCCAGGCTGGTCTCAAACTCCTGACCTCAGGTGATCAACCACCTCAGCCTCCCAAAGTGCTGAGATTATAGGCGTGAGCCACCCAACAACCCAGCCTGTGAAATCTGCATTTTCAAAAAATCTTCCTAGATGATTCTGATATGCATTTGGGTTTGGGAACTGTTAAATAATTAACTTTTTTTTTTTTCCTCTTAAAGAGTCTCACTCTGTTGCCTAGGCTGGAGTGCAGTGGGATGATCTTGGCTCACTGCAACCTCTGCCTCCCAGGTTCAAGCAATTTCTCCTGCCTCAGCCTCCTGAGTAGCTGGGAGTACAGGTGCACAGCACTACGCCTGGCTAATTTTTGTATTTTTTTAGTAGAGATGGGGTTTCACCATGCTGGTCAGGCTGGTCCTGAACTCCTGACCTGCCTTGGCCTCCCAAAGTGCTGGGATTACAGGCATGAGCCACTGCACCAGGCCTGGGAACTGTTAATTTAAATCACTTTTTTGATTTGAAAAGAGAAATTTAATTAAAAGCAATGGACAGAGACCTAAAAATTAAAACTTAGGTATATTATCAGAATAATTTTGATGGTTTATGTTATCATCTCTCATTGGAAGGAACAGAAGTACCCAGCTTTCCACAATTAAGCTTTATAATGATGCCATAAAAGTAAACTAGGCCAGCCACGGTAGCTCATGCCTGTAATCCCAGCACTTTGGGAGGCCGAGGTGGGCCGATCACAAGGTCAGGAGTTTAAGACCAGCCTGACCAATGTGGTGAAACCCCGATGCCAAAAATACAAAAATTACCTGGGTTGTGATGGCGCGCACCTGTAATCCCAGCTACACGGGAGAAGAATCGCTTGAACCTGGGAGGCGGAAGTTGCAGTGAGCCGAGATCATGTCACCACACTCCAGCCTGGGCAAAAGAGCAGGACTCCATCTCAAAATAAACAAACAAACAAATCCCCAAAGCAGAGAATTTATAATTTTCAAACACTTTTTTTAAAAAGCTGGTGGACTAACAAAGAGCTAGGATGAAACAATTTATTTTTAAAAAACCTTTTCTCATAAATCTGTTTCATCAGCATATATAATAACATGTATATTCTTAATTTAAGTAGAAACATGTTTTAAATTACTGGGAAAAACAAGAGTGAGATTCCAGGAACAATTGTGCCCTAAAGAAACCGGTTTAAAAGACAGGAATGCTGATTGAACAATTGACCTGCATTGTCAATTGGAACTAAACCTTTTTCTCATTTCTGCACCTAAATAGAGAAAAACAAATATAACATATTGAGTTAGTAAGTTCTCCAGACATCGAAATTGGTCTGGTTGATAAATCAAGTTACATTATTTTATTTTATTTTCAATTCCTAAATATAATAACTAAATAGAAATCACTGCTTAACAATGAATAAAGGTGGAACTCTAATTCTATCCAATTAGTTTGAAAATGTATCATTTTGAGAACTAAGTCTTTCTCGTAGCTCAGTAAATGAAACTTTTGGTACTTTCTGGTTTGTTTTTTTCTGTATCTTTTTCTTCCTGAGACAGGGTTTCACTCCTATCACCTCGGCTGCAGTGCAGTGGCTCGCTCTTGGCTCACTGCAACCTCTGCCTCCTGGGCTCAAGCGATTCTCCTGCCTCAGCCTCCCAAGTAGCTGGGACTACAGGCGCATACCAGGACAGCCGGCTAATTTGTATTTTTGTAGAGATGGGGTCTCACTATGTTGCCCAGGCTGGTCTCAAATTCCTGAGCTTAAGCAATCCACCCACCTTGGCCTCCCAAAGTGCTGGGATTACAGGCGTGAGCCACCGCGCCCGGCCACATGAACTTTCCTTTAAGGAACAAGTGCATTTTTAACAGACTCTGGAACTCGGCTTGCATAGTAGTCATAATTCCTCAGTGTGGCCAGGACTCCTGCAGAGTTCAGATGCTTCACATCCTTGTGGTACTGAAGAACGTTCCCATGGATATCAGTTAACTTGCCTATAGAAAAACATCAATCAATCAATCAAAATTAGTGGCTAATTGGATTGTGGTTTTTCTAGTTATTACTGAGTACCTTTTCCTTCCTTATCCAATAGTAGCCAATAAATTCTGGATCAAATCAGATACTGGGTGTCCATAAAGCTTAAGTTTTAATTCACTTGAACTTTAAGACGATAGAACAATTTTAACTAATTAAAGGATATAAAATTATTTTTTCTCTGATTGATTAATTTTATTTGGCATTTTCAATCTGCATTCCTTGGTGTCAGTTTCTCTACTCCTGAGGTATTACTTTTTCTTTTGATAATAGTCCATCATCACTACTCTCATTTTCAAAAACGTCTTTCTTCACTCTATTATTTAATATTAATAATTTAATTGGTAAAAGATTAAAGGATGTTAATAAAATAGAATTCTATTATATTAGTTTCATCTCACATCCCAGTAAAAATCGACTGTGAAGAAGTACAGTTTAACATCCTCGTCATATAATATGCTAAGCTATTGATAAAATAATATATTAGGAGAAATAAAAAATAAAGTGTTTTGTTTATTGCCATTTTTAAATCTGACAGGGATTTTAAAAGGCACTGCTTACTAAGGGTAGATGTGAACTGATGTCTATTGAAAATTGAAAAATTATCTTACTATGTATTTATTTGCAATGCATTTTCAGTCAGATTAAAAAAAAATTCTAACTGTATGATCTTTAAAACCAGTACTGAGATATTCACCCATATTGGCTTAAAAGAGACTAAGTGAAGTGACACTAATAATGAACATTTTGCTTTACAAGAAAAAGACCCCTAAAAACATTTAAGCCATAAATAGGCTGGGCACAGTGGCTCATGCCTGGAATCCCAGGACTTTGGGAGGCTAAGGTGGGAGGATTGCTTGAGTCTATGAGTTCAAGACCAGCTTGGGCAATATGACAAAACACCATTGCTACAAAAAATACCAAAATTAGCCAGGCATAGTGGCACACGCCTGTAGTCCCAGCTACCTGGAGGGGTAAGGTGGGAGGATGGCATGAGCCCAGGAGTTCAAGGCTGCAGTGAGCCATGATCATGCCACTGCATTCCAGCCTGGACAAGAGAGACCCTGTGTCAAATAAAATAAAATAAAAAGCCTATAGGCCAGGCACAGTGGCTCATGCCTGTAATCCCAGCACTTTGGGAGGCCGAGGCAGGCAGATCAGCTCAGGTAAAGGAGTTTGAGCCCAGCCTGGCCAACATGGTAAAATCCATCTCTACTAAAAATACAAAAAATTAGCTGGGCATGGTGGCATGCACCTGTAGTCCCAGCTACTTGGGAGGGTGAGGCAGGATAATCACTTGAACCCGGGAGGCAGAGGTTGCAGTGGGCCAAGATCGTGCCACCGCACTCCAACCTGGGGAACAGAGGGAGACTCCATCTCAAAAAAAAAAAAAGGCCATAAATAAGGGCTAAATTAAATCAACTGTATGCAGATCAAAGTTTGAAAAAAGAGATTATAACTAAAGTAAAACTTGCTGAAAATCTACTCTCTCATCCATCTATTATATGAGGGGTTTGGACTGAATAATCTCTAAGCTTCCTTCTGGCTTTTATATCATAAGGGCATAAGTAAAATAATATTACTGACATATTATGTCTTAGCATGATATAATTGTATAACAACTATGAATTTCTCAAAATAAAACAGACTAACCTCCCACAGCATGTAAAATAACTTCTGGAGCACAGGTATCCCACTTCTTACATCCAGGACTTGCAAAGACATAAGCAGAGGCTTTGCCTTCAATCAGCTGAATAATCTGTAAGGGTGAAAGTAACAACTATCCTTTGATACTTGAAAGCATAATAGAAAGTCATGAAAAGACTGAGGTACAGAGAAGAAAAACTGCTTGTTTCTATCATGGATATTTAATCAGTTCCTCTATTAAACTTAGGTTAAAGCCTTTAGCAGATTTAAATTATACCATTATTATGAAGAAATACAGAGAATAAATGCATAATATAGTGATATGAAGAAAATATAATGGTCAAAAAAGCTACAAAGAGGATCTCTGAACAATTTCTATATTCCCAGTTACATAAAATAACATGTTCCTTTTATTCATGTTTTTTTTAGTGTAAAAGCAATTACATTTATTGCAGAATTAATTAAAAATTTTTTAAACATCTAAAAAATTGACCATTATTAGAGGCTGCTCTCGGTGGCTCACTCCTATAATCCCAGAAATTTGGGAGGCTGAGGCAGGTGGATCACTTGTGGCCAGGAGTTTGAGATCAGCCTGGCCAACATAGCAAAAAACCATCTCTACTAAAACTATAAAAAAATTACCCGTAATCCCAGCTACTTGGAAGGCTGGGGCATGAGAATTGCTTCAACCTGGGAGGTGGAGGTTGCAGTGAGCCAGGATCTTGCCATTGCACTCCAGCTTGGGCAATGAGAGCAAGACTCCATCTCAAACAAACAAACAAACAAAAACCCTTTTGTTTCTTTTTCTTTTATTTGAGATGGAGTTTCACTCTTGTTGCCCAGGCTGGAGTGCAACGGTGCAATCTTGGCTCACTGCAACATCTGCCTCCCAGGTTCAAGCAATTCTCCTGCCTCACCCTCCCGAGTCACTGGGATTATAGGCACGTGCCACCACACCAGGCTAATTTTGTATTTTCAGTAGAGATGGGGTTTCTCCATGTTGGTCAGGTGGTCTTGAACTGCTGACCTCAGGTGATCCACCCACCTTGCCTTTCCAAAATGATGGGATTACAGGCATAAGCCACTGTGCCCGGCCCCCTTTAGTTTCTTAAACTCCCATTTTTCATTATTATGAGTAAATGCCTTTAGAAAACCTAAAAATAATTACTTCTAATACATAGGTGAGGAGAAATAAATTCCATTCAATTCATTAAACATCTATTACCTTCCCTATGCTCCACACACGTGTGAAAACGTATCAGGCAGTACAGTACGTGCAGTTCCATATCACTAGAGCTGAAGTATGAGTTGGATGATGGGAGATGAGGCTTGGAAGGGTCCAAGGACCAAGATATAGAAGGCCTTACAACCCTTGCTAATAGGCCTCTATTTTAAATTGTGATGGGGAGTCATCTGAGGATTTGGGCCACAGGAGTAGTTTTGCATTTTTAATTGGAAGACTGGATTGAACAGGCAGACCACTTTGGAAGCTATTGGAACAGCTGCGTGAGGGATGCTGATACGTTTCAACTATAGTACTAGCAACTGATGTGGACAAGAGGAGACATTGGAAGTATTCAAGAAGATATGTAAGTAGGACCAGATTGATAGGATGTGAGGGAAGAATGAAGGGATCTAGGATGACTTTCAGGTATCTGGCTGGACACTTAGGAAAATGGTGGTGCTTTAGCCGAATAGTAAAACAGAGAAAGGAACACTTCCAGAGGTGGGTAGAAAGAGGATGAACTCAAATTGGACACGCTGAATTTGAGATACCTGAGGGATGTCATCATGATGATATCCAGGGGACAATCAGATGAGAACAGATCAGGGCTAGGGATGTAGATCAAATTGTGTCCCATTTCATAATTCTCTCAGCAGGTTGGAAACCTGGATGAAAGAATGGGGGAAATAGATAGGAAGTGGGCAGGCAGGCCCGAGCTTAAGCCTCCAGGAGGTCTAGGAAATCATCTAAGAGGGTCCTTGGGAAAATAAGGTCTTTGGAGAGAAACATGAGTCTCACCCTGATGACTTTTATTAACACTGAACTCTCTCAGATTAAAAAAAAAAAAAAGCTGACTCTTAAATTTATTTTAAAAATTTAAATACTGCTGAAATGTACAAATTGTAATCCTTACTCCCATTTCTTTAAACTCTTATTTGATGTTTTTAAAAGTCCAGGATTTCAACAACTCACTTGCATTTCAGAGCAGGTGACAGACCTTTTTCATACCTTATTTCCTGCTCCTCCCACTCGCAGCACAACATCGGGGTTCATGGCGGTAACACAGTCAGTAACCAACTTGTTGCTATGGGATCGGGTAGTTGTGATAATGTGTTTCCCAGCGGGGACTTCTTTCAGCTGAAACCCAAAGGCACCTAAACCTAAGACTCCCCAGATCGTCCTCCCCAACACAGCATCTGGTCCTGCCTATGTAAACAAGTGAAACAACAAAACTTGTGATTATTTGGAGAAGAATGTTAGCCATAGATGGAATATTTCATATTAGCATCATGATTAAAAAAAATAAAAACACAATAATTTTATAAAGTACAAGAACAATATCACTGACAAAGAATTCTTCCTGAGAATCTGCCGATTATTATGATTATTGTTCTGGTTAATAGTTTCAAAGAATGTTTGGTTTGCCCCTTCTGAAAGTAAGGGAAATAGAGAAAAGAAAAGAAAAAAAAAAGTTTGGTTATTCCCCAGAATCCTTATAAACTGATTATGGTTTATAATGTATTGAAACATCATAAACTTATTACTGATTCTCTGAATCATCTAGTGATCTGTTGTATTTGAAAGTGGCCATTTTCAGAAGGTGCTAAGATCCCCAGGAAATGAAATACCATGCATTGATTACTACTCTTCATTATCCATGAAATATTAAAAAGCATGTTGCTACTGGAATAGGTAATGATGACAATGTATTTTACTGCTAAGGAGATAGGGCAACTGAAAAGGCCAATACATTATTGATGAAGTAGGTACTGTCATCCTTAAAGATGAGAAAAATGGAATACGGAATAATTAAGTGATCTGGCTAAAGGCTCTAGGAAGTTTAGTACCCAAAATTGGCTCATCTGTCTTCACAGATGATATTCTTCAACACTAAATTAGACTACCTAAGTTTACTTGCCAAAATGTCGTCAAACACATCATCTTATTTGCCCTACAGCAGTACCCTGGGTGCTGTTATTGTGAAATATGCTTCTGTTGCAGGTTGGTTCCCTGGGAAGCAGACTCTGAGACAGGTGATATGTTTGCTAGGAAATGTGCTTGGCAACAACACCTGTTGAAGGACAAGGGCATGGGCAGAGGGAAGACATAAACTGTGATGCAGGCACAAGAGCTGACCCTACGGGGAGCTGTTCCTTTGGTAGCTCTGGAGCTACCACAGCCCTTCAGGGTTGTCCCAAACTGGGATGAAAGGGCAGGTCTTTGAGCTCCTGCAATAGTCAGTCACTGGAAATGAGCTGCCTTGGGAAGAGCTGTGGCCCTGGGTGAGACAGCTCTCCATAGATAGGGCAATCCCGAGAGTCTGACGGCAACCGTGGCAACAGAGCCAAAGAACAGGCACTGGGTGCTCAGTATATGTTAATGTGCTTCCTCTGTTCCCACCTGCACTTACACTACAGGAGAGGCTTGGAATCTGAAAAGTACACATTCCAATTAGCTGGACATGCTGGCGCACACCTGTAATCCCAGCTACTCAGGAGGCTGAGGCATGAGAATCACTTGAACCCAAGAGGCAGAGGTTGCAGTGAGCAGAGATCACGCCACTTCACTCCAGCCTAGGCAACAGGCAAGACTCTGTCTCAAAAAATAAAAAGTACAAAAATTAGCCAGGCATGGTGGCATATGCCTATAATCGTAGCTACTAGGGAGGCTGAGGCAGAGAACTGCTTGAACTCAAGGGGTGAAGACTGCAGTGAGCCGAGATTGCACCATTGCACTCCAGCCTCGGTAACAGAGTGAGACTTCATCTCAAAAAAAAACTGGCTTCAATGTAAAACTGGATTGCGTTTCTTCATGCTAATTCCTTTAAGTGCCTACCAACTTTAGTATATGTTGGAAGCAATAATAAAGTTTGAATTGATAAGTCTTTTCTCTGGCTCAGGAGGACAATATAAAGTTATATAGTAGCAAGGTTTGGATTTGAGTTTGAATCCCAGCTCTGCTATTTACCACCTGGGTGACCACAGGCAAGTTAATTGCCTCAGTTTCCTCTTTAAAATGGAGATAATAGTTTCCTCAGAGGGCTGTGGTGAGTATTCAGTGAAAGGATACATTTGACACCCTTGAGCCTGGCAGCATACAGTAAATTCTTTTTTTTTTTGAGACAGAGTTTCGCTCTTGTTACCCAGGCTGGAGTGCAATGGCACGATCTCGGCTCACCGCAACCTCCGCCTCCTGGGTTCAGGCAATTCTCCTGCCTCAGCCTCCCGAGCAGCTGGGATGACAGGCACGCATCACCATGCCCAGCTAATTTTTTGTATTTTTAGTAGAGACGGGGTTTCACCATGTTGACCAGGATGGTCTCGATCCCTTGACCTCATGATCCACCTGCCTCGGCCTCCCAAAGTGCTGGGATTACAGGCTTGAGCCACCGCGCCTGGCCTGCATACAGTAAATTCTTAATAAATTTTAGTTATTATGGTGATGATGATTTAAAATTGAATCTTTAGCCTGAAAACCACCAACACAACTGAGCAACGTTTCTACTTCCATTTATTGTAATGAGTTTTAAGGCATAAGCAAGAAAAGCAAAAGAAAGGATAAAGAGAGTGCACAGAAGGGGAAGTGATACAGAGAGAGGTAAGGAAGAGAAGCAGCACAGGAGAAAATGAACTGTATGTGGGTGGGATGCACAGTGACCACCTGGGATTCTGTAAGTTGCCTACCTCTTTTCTACCTGCTAGTGGAGCCAAAACCCTAGCAATTTTTCTCACCTTTGCTTCATTCCTGTGTTCCCTTAACTGCTGCTTTTCATTGTTCTGTGGAAAATGAATACAATTTTTCTAATCTCAGAAAGAAGTGGTGAAAATTATTAACTCCTAAGCACTTAGATTTTTTTCTTGATGAAAGGTACCATGCATTACAATGCTTTCTATGAATTAAATGTCCCTTTCTAAAGTAATAGTCTTGCCTGGCACGGTGGCTCACGCCTGTAATCCCAGCACTCTGGGAGGCCCAGGTGGGTGGTTCACGAGGTCAGGAGTTTGAGACCAGCCTGGCCAATATGGTGAAACCCTGTCTCTACTAAAAATGTCAAAAAAAAAAAAAAAAAAAATTAGGCGTGATGGTGCAAGCCTGTAATCCCAGCTACTTTGGAGGCTGAGGCAGAAGAATCGCTTGAATCCAGGAGGCGGAGGTTGCAGTGAGCTGAGATTGCACCACTGAAGTTCAGCCTGGGCGACAGAGTGAGATTCTGTCTCCAAAAAAAAAAAAAAGTAATAGTCTTAAATTAAAGTTTACATAAAAACCACAAACTTGTGTCTGCATATAACAGTATGAACATTAAAATGGCCGGGCATGGTGGCTCAAGCCTGTAATCCCAGCACTTTGGGAGGCCGTGGCGGGTGGATCACGAGGTCAAGAGATCGAGACCATCATGGTCAACAGGATGAAACCCCGTCTCTACCAAAAATACAAAAAATTAGCTGGGCATAATGGCACGTGCCTGTAATCCCAGCTACTCGGGAGGCTGAGGCAGGAGAATTGCCTGAACCCAGGAGGCGAAGGTTGTGGTGAGCTGAGATCGTGCCATTGCACTCCAGCCTGGGTAACAAGAGCAAAACTCTGCCTCAAAAAAAAAAAAAAACATTAAAATGATATTTAAAGAATTAATAGACATGAGCAATTTAACCCAAGAGACTTTCTCAATAACATATAACTATTTTGGTAAATCCTAAGAAACACATGACTCCTTAAATAAAATTTATAATTATATGAACAGCAGAAAACAACAAATTTATATTAGAAATAAAGATTAATCCTGCTTTCAACTCAGAGTAGAAAATCAGAAGTAATATTGCCCACTCTGATTATTTTGTTTCTCTAAAGTTCTATCAAGGTCTCATTAATATAAATACCTTAACTACTTTATCTCAACCATTTTCTATAAAATTTAATGTAATTTAATGGTATATTCTTATTCTTGCTTTGAAATTACACTAGTCTCTTGCTTCTATGGAAGGCAATTTCTCTGATATATAATAGAAAATAAAGGCAGATTAGAAGAGACGAGGAAAGAGGGCACGAGCATAACAAGCTCTGTTACCAACATGGACTGTAATTCAGGCACTATGCAACATTAACTGGAAAACAGCATGGCTAGCATCTTTCCCTTGTTGAAATGGTTCATTTCTTTAATGTGCTTGACAAACCAATTGTAAATCAGATATCTTTCTTTCTTTTTTCTTTTTAAAAAAAAATCACATGTATGTGATAACCATGACACAAATGTAGCTTTAGGGCAAAACATAACACATGATACTAGCTTTCCATACAACATACAAAGAGTTTCGCTCTTGTTACTCAGGCTGGAGTGCAATGGCGCCATCTCGGCTCACCGTAACCTCCGCCTCCTGGGTTCAGGCAATTCTCCTGACTCAGCCTCCTGAGTAGCTGGGATTACAGGCAAGCGCCACCATGCCCAGCTAATTTTTTGTATTTTTAGTAGAGACGGGGTTTCACCATGTTTACCAGGATGGTCTCGATCTCTTGACCTTGTGATCCACTGCCTCGGCCTCCCAAAGTGCTGGGATTACAGGCTTGAGCCACCGCGCCCGGCTAAATCAGATGTCTTGATGCCCAAGCTAATCAAGAACCATATCAGTAATTCTCTAACATTTGTATTTGAATCATAAGGAATTAATTTAAAAATAGATAATGCATACAGTATATCTGTATATATAGACATACATATATTTACATGCCCAGTACCAATGCCACCAGAGATTTTGATTCAATAGTTCTTGAGAATGGCATCGGAATCCATATTTTTAAAAATTTCTCAACAGTTAATAGCATAGCTAAAAAATGTTGAAGATAATAAAAAAATTTTAAAAGTGAAAGTTCCCCAGATGATTGCATGTGCAACCAAGCTAAAAACTACTCGCTTAGATAACATAAAGAACCATATAACACCATCCTTATTTATCCAATTAAATAACTTGTATCACTTGTAGTAATACCTCATAGTTGTAATATGGCTGGTTAATAATTCCTGCTATGGCTTTTCCTTCATAAGCAATTCCAATAAGAACTGTTACATTATCAAGAAGACCTGTAGAGAAGAAATAAATGTCAATTATATAACTTGCTCATGTTATGACTCATCATTATTACATCAATTGGTCAAAGTTATTTTTGCAGCTAAGCAGTTCACAGATGAGGGGAGAGTGAGTGAGACGGGCATGGGATGGTGGAGGTGGCAGAGCAAGAGCTACACAGCTGTGCTGGTTATAGTTTTTCTACCCCGTTAAAGCTGGGGGTTCAGCATAGGTTTCACTTTGGTAACACTGGTTTACTGTGTTAGTTATTCTCATCTGGGAGACATTAGAAGTGTGGCGCTGGTAGAGTACGTGAGGAGTGGTATTTGAAAAGATGAATTTTCTTCCTCTGTCTTGATAATCAGTGATGTGTGTGACAACCATGACCACAAATGTAGCTTTAGGGCAAAACATACCACATGATACCAGCTTTCCATACACCATACAAAATATCAAATATTTACAACTAAATATCATCTCCTTGTCTTACTGCTGTCAAATATGAATACAAAAGAGATACGAACCTTCAGTATACTCCTTGGTTCCATCCAGAGGATCAACCCAGACTACAAGCTAAAATTAAAAAAAAAGAGAAGGAAAATATCTAAATCAAGCATACAAAATTCTAAAAATTGATTTAAAAGGATCAAAACTACGCTTTTTTTTCCTTTTTCAAATTATAGTATAGATGGCTTACGTTAATGTCATCTGTTTTTAAATAGTACAAAAACTGCATTCTTTTGTAATCATGGAAGAATTCCATTTGAGTCAAAGTCTGATTTAAGAATTTTCAACATGAAATGCTTAACTAATGAAAGTTTGTTGTCATTTGAACACTAAGCACAATGAATATACTGATCTCTAGATCATGGTACAAGGAAAACTTGTAAAGTGGCATAAAAAATGTTTTGAGCATGTATAGCTGCTACTCATTTTTATATATAAGTGCTGATTTTTTTTTTTTTTGAGATGGAGTTTCGTTCTTGTTACCCAGGCTGGAGTGCAATGGTGCGATCTCGGCTCACCGCAACCTCCGCCTCCTGGATTCAAGCGATTCTCCCGCCTCAGCTTCCCGAGTAGCTGGGATTACAGGCACGCGCCACCATGCCCAGCTAATTTTTTTGTATTTTTAGTAGAGACGGGGTTTCGCCATGTTGACCAGGATGGTCTCGATCTCTTGACCTTGTGATCCACCTGCCTCGGCCTCCCAAAGTACTGGAATTATAGGCGTGAGCCACCGTGCCCAGCCTTAAGTGCTGATTTTTAAAAAACAACAGTCTGGGAGCCACGGTGACTCAGGCCAGTTGTCCTGGTGCATGAGGAGGTGAGGCTACGCATTCGAGGCCAGCCTGGGAAACAGAAACCACTCATCTATTAAAAAAAACCAGTCTGATTATCTTAAGGATACATTCCATATAATCCAGTGATAAATGAATGATTAATAAAACTGGCAGCAGATTTAGAAGGAAAATTCCTTCTGTTTAGGACATTTAATATGATTCGGGATATGCTGCTTTAAACACTAGAATTATAAAATGATGTGAATTTGTGGGTGAGGGCATGTTTCTGATGGAGGGCACCACGTCTCATTTTCTTTGTTTCCTCCACACCACAGAGCAACGTGTCTTACTCATAGTAAGTCTCCATTACTATGGAATAAGTATGCATTAAATGATCAAAAATTAGAAAACTAAACAAGTTATGGTGGCTATGTGAAGTCACAGATTTAACTTAAGCAACTATAAAAAGCAAGCAGGATGACATTTATGGCCTTCTAAAAATATAAGGTACCAACCTGTTTTATAGCCTTTATCCCTAATTACCAGTGAATGTTTTACTACCAAATCTACTAAATAACAAATTAGATTTTCTTCCTAAAAGTGTTTATTTTTAATGAGACAGGGTCTCACTCTGTTGTCCAGGCTGGAGGGTATGTGTAAAACTGTACATGGTAAGAACAAGGTAGGAAAACTTACACTTCCCAATTGTAAAACGTAATACAAAGCAAGAAAGTATGGTATTGGCATAAGGATAGATATATAGACCAATGCAACATAACTGAGAGTCCATAATGAAACCCGTAACCCATACATCTTTTTTTTTCCCCTTTGAGATGGAGTTTTGCTCTTGTTGCCCAGGCTGGAGTGCAATGGGGCAATCTTGGCTCACCGCAAACTCTGCCTCCTGGGTTCAAGTGATTCTCTTGCCTCAGCCTCTTGAGTAGCTGGGATTACAGGCGCAGGCCACCACGCCTGGCTAATTTTGTATTTTGTCGAGACGGGATTTCTCCATGTTGGTCAGGCTGGTCTCAAACTCCTGACTTCAGGTGATCTGCCTGCGTCAGCCTCCCAAAGTGCTGGGATTATAGGCATGAGCCACCGCGCCAGGCATGAAACCCATACATGGTGTGCTGATTTTTGACAAGTGTGCCAAGGCCATTCAACTGGGGAAAATAATAATCTCTTCAAGAGATGGTGCTGGGGCTGGGCACAGTGGCTCATGCCTGTAATCTCAGCACTTCGAGAGGCTGAGGCAGGCAGATCACAAGGTCAAGAGATCAAGACTCTCCTGGCCAAAATGGTGAAACCCCATCTCTACTAAAAAAACAAAAATTAGCTGGGCAGGGTGGCTCGTGCCTATAATCCCAGCTACTCAGGAGGCTGAGGCAGGAGAATTGTTTGAACTAGGGAGTTGGAGGTTGCAGTGAGCCAAGATCCCACCACTGTACTCCAGCCTGGTGACAGAGCAAGACTCTCTCTCAATAAAATAAAAAAAAAAAAAAAAAAGATGATGCTGTTTGCAGCCTCAACCTCCCTTGGCTCAGATGATCCTCCCACCTCAATCTCCCAAGTAGCTGAGACTACAAAAGCGCACCACCATATCTGGCTAATTTTTGTATTTTTTGTAGAGAGAGAGTTTCACTATGTTCCCCAAGCTGGTCTTGAATTCCTAGGCTCAAATAATCTAACCCCCTTGGCCTCCCAAAATGCTGGGATTACAGGTGTGAGTCATGCCTAGCCCTAAAAGGATTTTAAATCGTGGCTTCAGAGTGGCAAGGAAATCCATTGGATGAGAAACTGAACTCTAAATTAACAGGTCATACAATCTATATGGTTGCCTAATACTTCCATGTTGGCTCTGAAACATCAAGTTTCTGGTTGCCCCTATTTTATAACTATCAATTTTCATCTTACAGGTACATTTTATTTCCTTTACTATGACAAAAAGCACAGGTTAGTAGCGAGTAGAGTATAAATATAGATCATACATCTTCTTCTTTAATCGCACTGTACTGTGATGGGCATGGTTGCTTCAGTATTTCCTCCCACTGACCATCTTCAATCAGCTCTTGATCCACTTCCTCAGAAGGCAGATCCTAAAGCAGAGATAACCCTAATGGTTACTGAAGCTGTTTAGTGTTTACGGAGTACACTTTGTCTCATCAACAGAAGAAATACAGCATCACAGTTTTTACTAGTTCTTCCGGTTTACCATTTATGTTTAGAGCTTTTAAAGCAAATCTTAAAAATTTACAAAAACAACCATATGTGGCTCATCAAAGTTGACTAAATGGTTCCAACATCATCATTCTGAACAGAGTTTAAAAAGAAAAGAATTTTTGGCCGGGTGCGGTGGCTCAAGCCTGTAATCCCAGCACTTTGGGAGGCTGAGGCGGGTGGATCATGAGGTCAAGAGATCTAGACCATCCTGGTCAACATGGTGAAACCCCGTCTCTACTAAAAATACAAAAAAAATTAGCTGGGCATGGTGGTGCGTGCCTGTAATCCCTGCTACTCAGGAGGCTGAGGCAGGGGAATTGCCTGAACCCAGGAGGCGGAGGTTGCGGTGAGCCAAGATCGCGCCATTGCACTCCAGCCTGGGTAACAAGACTGAAACTCTGTCTCAAAAAAAAAAAAAAAAGAAAAGAAAAGAATTTTTAAGTATTATACACTCATTTAAACAAGTGTCTCTGACAGCAGATAGTTCTCTGTATTACATGAGATGTCAATTCCCTCACTTTCAAAGTGTTATAGTCTTTGGATAAGTATGCAAATCAGCCTAATTTTAAAAACAAACAACAAAACCCATTTTATTCCAAAGTTCTAGAACTCTGCTCATCTTATAGTTTGTATGCTGGGTATAACAGTAACCGTTATTTTCCATGGTCAAAAATGAAGACATCTGGCCTAGAAATAGACCAAAATATCTTAAAACATTTCCTCCAAGTCCAAGAAAGACAATAATTATTTGTGTTTAAAATAATATAATGCTTGAAATCATAATACTGGTATATAAATCAATAAAGTGTCAGTTATAAATCCATTTGGTAAGCAGGGATTTTAAAAAAAAGTCTCTGACAACTCTTACCTCTTCCCCTATAATTGTTAGTTTGGGGAATTTCCGGGCCAATGAAGAACATATGCTCATCTGTACCAGTCGGTCAGCTTTGGTCTGCAGGTCTGTTGCACAGGTCTGTAACAAAGAATGCAAAGTTTTGTAGAACGAATGAGAAATCAGTTGTCCTCTGATTCCTTGTGCATCAGTGCCTACATAATTTACATTACATTGTCAGTTTTTAGAGTCATAGATCTTAACACCAAATGAATTAACTAGTTTCTTGACTTGGTTTTCTCAAAGGATTAATAGTGGTTAAAGTTTGGAAAGGAGTTTTTTTGGTTTTGTTTTTTTTGAGACAGAGTGTTGCTCTTGTTCCCCAGGCTGGAGTGCAATGGTGGGGTCTGGGCTCACCGCAACCTCCAACTCCCAGGTTCAAGCAATTCTCCTGCCTCAGTCTCCCAAGTACCTGGGATTACAGGTGCCTGCCACCACGTGACGGCTAATTTTCATATTTTTAGTAGAGATGGGGTTTTGCCATGTTGGCCAGGCTGGTCTCAAACTCCTGACCTCAGGTGATCCACCCTCCTTGGCCTCCCAAAGTACTGGGATGATAGGCGTGAGCCACCATGCCCAGCCTGAGGAAAGCTATTCTCTTCTCTTCTCTAAGATAAATATTTCCTCTTCTATCAACATAGCTCCAGACCTTATTGTTGGAACCTTGTGTGACAAACCGATTTTGCTGTTTTTTAAAAATAAGGTATCAACAAGAGGATATAAAGTACTAGAAATGCCTCAGCATACAGAAGACAATGAGAATATTACCTTTTTTCCTAACTTGGCACTACATCCCTGTTCCTTTTTAGCTAACTGTGTTTCAAAGTTGTATGTCTAATATAATTTCAACATAAGATCATCTTAAAATAAGTGATGTTAAGGAAAAAGATCTGAAAAAAAATTATACAAAATACTGGCAATGGTGGCATAATTTTTGTTTACTTTTTGCTGTTTTTCTCCATTTCCTATTTTTCAAAATAGAAAAAACTTTATAAAAATAAGATTAGGAGGCTGGGCACAGTGGCTCAAGCCTGTAATCCCAGCACTTTGGGAGGCCGAGGCGGGTGGATCGCGAGGTCAAGAGACTGAGACCATCCTGGTCAACCTGGTGAAACCCCATCTCTACTAAAAATACAAAAAATTAGCTGGGCATGGTGGCGCGTGCCTGTAATCCCAGCTACTCAGGAGGCTGAGGCAGGAGAATTGCCTGAACCCAGGAGGTGGAGGTTGCAGTGAGCCAAGATCCTGCCATTGCACTCCAGCCTGGGTAACAAGAGCGAAACTCCGTCTCAAAATAATAATAATAATAATAAGATTAGTAGCCCTCTGAAAGCAGCAGTATTATTTTGTTGGTTATTACTAAGCATATCTATGGTCAACTAAAACCTCTTTTTCAAACAAATTTGAATCAGAGTTATCTTATATAACTTGAACATGAATACAGGACTTTGTATTATTCCTGTTGTAACATCCTGTTCGATTTGGTCCACTTTTCTCAGAGGTTGCAACTATTTTTCAATACTTATTCTGTGATTAAATGTATTAACTAGCCTGCCCAGCTTTATCTTATTGACAAACTTGATAAGTATGTTTTCTGTATCATCCTCTTCCACTTCAGATAACACATTCGGTATTTTTAAAAACTGTGTGTTATTTAATAAAGAGAATAGTACAATGCCAGGAGCAGAGTCCTGTGATCAGCCAACAGTGATCCTTTTCCAGGATGAAAATGACTCATGAATTTAAATTTCTGGATAATGTTATGAATCCAGTTATGAATACACGCAACCATGGCTCAGGATGGGAGATGTTGGCCATATGACTAAAAATAGCTTGAATCTGTTTAAAATAGAAAATGACAGACTATAACAAATATTTTGCTTAAATCAAGATACCTCTATTTCCTCTATGAGCAGGCCCATCAATCTATCAAAAAAGGAAACAAGATTTATTTCATTTGTTCTCATGAGTTTTATTTTTATTTAATATTATTTATTTATTTTAGAGATAGGGTCTTACTCTGCTGTCCAGCCTGGAGTACAGTGGTGGGATTACGGTTCACTGCAGCCTCTAACTCCCGGGCTCAAGCAATTATCCCACTTCAGTTTCCCAAGTAGCCAGGACTATAAGCATGTCCCACCATGCCAGACGGGGTCTTGCTGTGTTGCCCAGGCTGATTTTTATGTTTACTTTTTAAAAGCAATTATGTTGAATGTTCTTTTGTATTTTTGAGATTGAGTTTCGCTCTTCTTGCCCAGGCTGGAGTGCAATGGCACAATCTTGGCTCACTGCAACCTCTGCCTCCTGGGTTCAAGTGATTCTCTTGCCTCAGCCTCCTGAGTAGCTAAGACAAGAGGTGCCCGGCACCACGCCCTGCTAATTTTGTATTTTTAGCAGTGACAGGGCTTCTCCACATTGGTCAGGCTGGTCTCAAACTCCCAACCTCAGATGATCCACCCGCCTCGGCCTCCCAAATTGCTGGGATTACAGGCGTGAGCCACCACACCCAGCCATGTAGGATGTTTTATAATGAACTCACCTCAACTTTTTTCTCAATTGTTTTTACTCACATGTCTCACTTTTTCTTATGGTAACAACCTAGACGGATGTATCACTTAGAAATGAGTGACTTAACTTACTGTATTTTAAATCATTAAAGTGTCAATGATAAATCATATCGTATTAATACTCTCACTTGGAAGAAACTACAATACAAGTTTCCTTAAAGACTATAATAAAGATTTAGGCCAAGTGTAGTGGCTCAGACCTGTACTCAAACCCATAATCTCAGCACTTTGGGAGGCTGAGGCGGGAGGATTGCTTGAAGCCAGGAGTTCAAGACCAGCCCCATCTCCACGAAAAAAACATTAGCTCAGTGTTATGGTGCGTGACTGTAGTCCTAGATACTCCGGAGGCTAAGTCAAGAGGATCCTTTGAGCCCAGAGCTTGAGGCTGCAACCAGCTATCAGTGTGACTATGCCACTGTACTCCAGCCTCAGGTGACCGAGTGAGACCCTGTCTCTTAAAAAAATAACAAAAAGGCTGGGCGTGGTGGCTCAAGCCTGTAATCCCAGCACTTTGGGAGGCCGAGGCGGGTGGATCACGAGGTCAAGGGATTGAGACCATCCTGGTCAACATGGTGAAACCCCGTCTCTACTAAAAATACAACAAATTAGCTGGGCATGGTGGCGCTTGCCTGTAATCCCAGCTACTCAGAAGGCTGAGGCAGGAGAATTGCCTGAACCCAGGAGGCGGAGGTTGCGGTGAGCCGAGATCGTGCCATTGCACTCCAGCCTGGGTAACAACAGTGAAACTCTGTCTCAAAAAAAAAAAAAAATAACAAAAAGATTATAATAAAGAATTTAAGGATTAAAAGTCAATATATGAAAGCTTATGTGTAAAATTTGTAATGTGAAGTAATAACCAAATCCTATGGAAAATTATATTTTAAACTGGAACACAAGCATGGTGGCATTTCTTTTAAGAATCAACTATCACTATAAACTTTGTAACAATCTATTTAAGTTTGTAATTCCTACATTGGAAAAAACACTCTTGTTTTGAGTTTCTTTTCCATGAGGAAGAAAAAAATGTATCACTTTGATTATAACAAATACTTACGTAAATGCCAGATTTTACCAAACATGTTGAGTTCACTAAGGATTGCATGGTGTTACATGCAAGAGATTACTCTAGAATTTGAAGCTTGGTTACAATGCCTTCGGGATGAATATGGTTCAGAAGACTCAGACATATGAATAAAGATCTTGCATGCAGGAAGTCTGGAGTCATTTTCAAAGCAGAGATGTTACCCTTCTGAAGCAAGGGTCTCGCAATCTCCATAACAGAGCCATCAACTATTTTCATTGATAAAGTCTGTCCACAGTTTTACATCATTTAGCTAAACCTCAAGAACAAAAATAAAGTTGGTATGAAATGATATGAGAGTTTCAGTACCTTCTCCACAATACCCAGGTCTCCTTCAGCAATAACACGTCTGACTATCATTCCTGCCTTTTGAGCAACAGAATATGCTGAGGCTACCAACCGCATCAACACGGTGTTCCTGGAAGCCATGGTAAACTCTAAAAAGAGATCAAGAAAAATATGTCGTTAATTTCAAATACTGGTTTTCCTTACGTAAATTCAACTGAACATATATTAATTGAGTGCTGACTTGGGATTGCTCCCATTAAGTTCTTTAATACATATTTACTAAAAGAGACTTGAAAAAAACTCCATTTGGGCATTAACTCTTTCAATAAACTCTATATTTTTTATGTCTCTCTGCAGATGGGGCATTTGAAAACATAGGAGACACTGACCCAGGCTGCTGAGCATGTGAGACAATTTGTATGTGAGGTGGGTAATGTGCAAAGGATATGGAAGGTGCTTGGGAGCTAAAAATATAAGACGTAATATTTGTGCTTGAGGAGCTAATATTTTGGTGGGTTGTAGATAAAATAATGTAGCCTAATGCCTATAACATAAAATTAGGAAGCGCCAAAAGTGGTGTGAATAGTACAGGGATGTACGTGTGTAGGGCGTAATTACAAAGGGAGGTTTATTAGTCCATTTTCATACAGTTATAAAGAATGACCCAAGACTGGGTAGGCCGAGCATGATGGCTCACGCCTGTAATCCCAGTACTTTGGGAGGCCAAGGTGGGCAGATGACCTGAGGTCAGGAGTTCAAGACCAGCCTGACCAACATGGTGAAATCCTCTCTCTACTAAAAATACAAAAATTAGCTGGGCGCAGTGACACACATCTGTAATCCCAGCTACTTAGGAGGCTGAAGCAGAAGAATTGCTTGAACCTGGTAGGTGGAGGTTGCAGTGAGCCGAGATCGTGCCATTGCACTCTAGCCTGGGCGACAGAGAGTAAGACTCTGTCTCAAAAAAAAAAAGAAAGAAAGAAAGCACTTGTCCCTTGCACAAGGTAAACACCAAATAATACTGGCTAACTATTATTGTTCTGATTGTCCTTATTTTGGTTATTTTGCAGGAACATTAGAGCAGTGTCAAGGGCAAAAAGTTCCTATAACTTCTCCAACAGTGTTCTGACCTTAAGAATACAAAATGATCATCAACATGACCCTCAACCAGAGTACAGCGCAGGCTTTTTTTCATAACATTCTGAGCTTGAGGCTTGCAGTAGACAAAAAAAAAAGCTGTATAACACGTAAGGCCATCAGCCTAACACCTATCCATTAGAGAAGTCTTTACATCTGCCAAAGGGCTAGTTCAGAAGCATGGAAAACAACAGGCCTCAAATGATTCGTTTCTTCTCATATAACGACTGTGAACAGATGAGGATTCCGATCTAAAAATGATGAGTTCCAGATCAAAATAATAGTTATTTATCTTTTGGAACCTGGCCTGATGAGAATGTTCAAGGTCATCTGAAAAAATAAAAATGTAAGCATAATGGAGCAAATTCTGGAAAAAGAACAATGAGCAGAGGTACTCCCCTTATTAATTGTCAAAATATGACAAAATGTGATTTATTCAAAATATGATATAAAAGTTTGGTGAGACAAATTAAGGAAACAAATTGCAGAAACAGAACCTAATACACTGAAGGTGGTGTTTCAAATCATGGGAGAATTCCAATTTTTTGTAAATGGCAGGGCAGTTGCTTAACTTTTAAATACTTTTTTTTTTTTGAGACGGAGTTTCGCTCTTGTTCCCCGGGCTGGAGTGCAATGGCGCGATCTCGGCTCACCGCAACCTCCGCCTCCTGGGTTCAGGCAATTCTCCTGCCTCAGCCTCCTGAGTAGCTGGGATTACAGGCACGCGCCACCACGCCCAGCTAATTTTTTGTATTTTTAGTAGAGACGGGGTTTCACCATGTTAACCAGGATGGTCTCCATCTCCAGACCTCGTGATCCACCCGCCTGGGTCTCCCAAAGTGCTGGGATTACAGGCTTGAGCCACCACGCTCGGCCAACTTTTTTTTTAATGTAACTTTTTCTTTTTTGGAGACAAAGTCTCGCTCTGTTACCTAGGCAGGAGTGCAATGGTGTGATCTTGGCTCACTGCAACTTCCGCCTCCCAGGTTGAAGCAATTCTCCTGCCTCAGCCTCTGGAGTAGCTAGGACTACAGGTACAGGCCACTACGCCCAACTAATTTTTGTTTTATCTTTGAGACAGAGTCTCCCTCTGGTGCCCAGGCTAGAGTGCAATGGCGGGATCTTGGCTCACCGCAACCTATGCCTCCCAGGTTTAAGCGATTCTCCTGCCCAGCCTCCCAAGTAGCTGGGACTACAGGCATGGGTCACCAAACCCACTCAATTTTTTTATTTTTGGAAAAGACGGGATTTCTCCATGTGGCCACGCTGGTCTTGAACTCCAGACCTCGTGATCCATCCGCCTAGGCCTCCCAAAGTGCTGGGATTACAGGTGTGAGCCATCACACCCGGCCTGAGCTACTAAACTTTTTAAAAAAATGTTGAGACCAGCCTGGCCAACATGGTGAAACCCTGTCTCTACAAAACAATACAAAAGTTAGCTGGGCACAGTGGTGTGCACCTATAATCCCAGCTACTCCAGAGAGAAAGACAGAAAGACAGAAAAAAAAAGAAAGAAAGAAAGAGAGAAAAGAAAAGAGAAGAAAAGAAGAAAAAAGAAAATTTGTCGCTGAACGCGGTGGTTCACACCTGTTATCCTAGAACTTTGGGAGGCCAAGGTGGGTAGATTGCTTGAGCTCAGGAGTTTGAAACCAGTCTCTAACATGGCAACATGGCAAAACCTCGTCTCTGAAAAAAAAAAAAAAAAAAAATGCAAAAATTAGACCGGCGTGGTGGCACATGCAACTACTTGGGAGGCTGACGTGGGAGAATCACCTGAGCCTGGGAGGTTGAGGTTGCAGTGAAACATGACAGCACCACTGTACTCCAGCCTGGGGACGGAGCAAGAACACGTCTTTTTTTTTTTTTTTTTTTTTTTTTGAGACGGAGTTTCGCTCTTGTTACCCAGGCTGGAGTGCAATGGCGTGATCGCGGCTCACCACAACCTCCGCCTCCTGGGTTCAGGCAATTCTCCTGCCTCAGTCTCCTGAGTAGCTGGGATTACAGGCACGCGCCACCATGCCCAGCTAATTTTTAGTATTTTTAGTAGAGACGTGGTTTCACCAAGTTGACCAGGATGGTCTCGATCTCTTGACCTCGTGATCCACCCGCCTCAGCCTCCCAAAGTGCTGGAATTACAGGCTTGAGCCACCGCGCCCAGCAAGAACATGTCTTAAAAAAGAAAGAAGGAGGAAGAAGGAAGAAAGAAGAAAGGAGGAGGAAGAAAAACAAAGGGTGAGAGGGAGGGGAGGAGGAGAAGAGGGAGGAGAGGAGGAGAAGAAAAGTCTGTCCTTTGTCGGGTTTGCAAGGGTGCGAGGGAACGTTCCTGATCATTGTTGACAAAGGGTGAACCCTCAGGAGAGTTTTGAGAAGCTCAGTAAAAGTATGACGTACCTATCTTTTGAACCAGCAATTATATTCCCAGGAAATCCAAATAAATCACGCAAACCTACAAATACGTAGAAATGGCGGTTGGAAGAATATTTGCTACTTAAAGAAATTTAATTTTAGGTGGAAGGCAGTTTCTAAATTTGGGTGCATCAACGAACTCAATGTCTAGGTCTGTCTTGTTGTTTCTACAATATATGGCTATAAAAACCTTCCGGATCACGAAAATAAAAGCACCGGATAAACCATTAAAATACTGACACTCATGAGTCCCAGTCCGAAATTAGAACATCTGGAGAAGCAATCTGATTCACATACACCTTTTTTTTTCCAAACATAAATCCTGTCTACCCGGCTCTTGCCCCGACCGGCAGGAGAGAAACTTACGGTGACAAACCTGGAACAACGTTGGACCAAAGACACTTCAGAACAGCAGAAAGGCGCTATGGAGACCCAGTCCCTCGCGGCGTCCAGTACCGCGCTTTCGCACTGTCCGTAGGTCATTCCGGGATGGAAGGCTCCCCTACCTCAGGTACTGAGCATGCGGGAACTCCGCGCAGGCGCACAACAGAGACTTCCCACGGTCTCTTCAGACTCCCGATCTGCGGGACATGCGGGAAAATTCCACATGTCCGTGTTTTCTCCAAGCTCTCCGTAGGTGCAAGTCACCTGTTGCATTAAATACAAGCCAAAGGTGTGTCAACTTTTAAAGATTGGCTTTAAAAAAAAAAAAAAAAAAAAAAAAGGAAATAAAACAGTAGGCCAGCAACAGTGTGTTAAAGAAAAAAAAGAAGGTTGGTTTTGGTTTCAGCTGTCTTCCAGCCCACTTCGTAGAGTTCACTGTTTTAAATGTTCATTGTATTAGTTCGCTCTGCGGCTATTTAACTTTGAACCCCTAGCGACCACACACACCTCCTCCTCCTGTGTTAAAGATGCGTGGCTACTTTTTTTTTTTTTTTAGAGACAGATAGCTTGCTCTGTCGCCCAGAGTCGCTTACAGCTCACTGCTGCCTTCTATGTCCTAGGCTCAAGGATCCTCCCTCCTCAGCCTCCTGTGTAGCTGGGACTACAGGTGCAGCTGTGCCCCACCACGCCCAGCTAATTAAAATAAAAACTTTTTTTGTATAGATGGGGTCTTTTCTAGGGCGTGGGGGGCGGGGCAGAGTCTCATTCTGTCTCTCGGGCTGGAGTGCAATGGGATGGTCTTGGCTCACTGCAACCCCCGTTTCCTGTGTTCAAGCGATCCTTCCGACTTAGCCTCCGGGGTAGCTAGGACCACAGGCTGGCCACCACGCCCTGCCTTTTTTTTCGTGTTTTTTTTTTTTTTTTTTTTTAATTTAGAGACGGAGTTTCATCCTGTAGGCCAGACTGGTCTTGAACTCATGACCCCAGGTGATCTGCTCACCTTGGTCTTCCAAAGTGCTGGGATTACAGGTGTGAGCCACTGCGCCTAGCTTAAAAAGGCTTTTACTTCATTTGATTTGCACAATAACTCTGTGAGTTAAATAGACCCTTTTTGGGAAGTGGCAAAATATATATAACATGGGTTATATTATTTAACCGTGTGTGTGTGTGTGTGTGTGTGTGTGTGTATACATTTTTTTTTTTTTGAGACGGACTTTCGCTCTTGTTACCCTGGCTGGAGTGCAATGGTGCGATCTCAGCTCCCCAACACCTCCGCCTCCTGGGTTCAAGCAATTCTCCTGCCTCAGCATCCCGAGTAGCTGGGACTACAGGCGCAGGCCACCATGTCCAGCTAATTTTTGTATTTTTAGTAGAGACGGGTTTCATCATGTTGACAAGGATGGTCTCGATCTCTGGACCTCGTGATCCACCCACCTTGGCCTCCCAAAATGCTGGGATTATAGGCATGAGCCACCGCGCCTGGCCATATATATATATATATATATATATATATATATATATATATTTTTTTTTTTTTTTTTTTTTTTTTTCCGAGGAGTCTTGCTCTGTTGCCCAGGCTGGAGTGCAATGGCAGGATCTCGGCTCACCGCAACTTCCGCTTCCTGGGTTCAAGCAATTCTCCTGCCTCAGCCTCCCGAGTAGCTGGGACTACAGGCACGTGCCACCACGCCCAGCTAATTTTTCTATTTTTAGTAGAGACGGGGTTTCACCATGTTGACCAGGATGGTCTCGATCTCTTGACCTCGTGATCCACCCGCCTTGGCCTGCCGAAGTGCTGGGATTACAGGCATGAGCCACTACGCCTGGCCCTATTTTATTTTATTTATTCGGAGACAAAGTTTTGCTCTTGTTGCCCAGGCTTGAGTGCAGGGGCGCTATCAGCTCACCCGCAATCTCCACCTCCCCGGGTTTAAGAGATTTTCTTGCCTCAGCCTCTCGAATAGCTGGGATTACAGAACTTTGGGACATGGTGCATGCCTGTAAACCCAGCTCATTTTGTATGTTTAGTAGAGACGGGGTTTCTCCATGTTGGTCAGGCTGGTCTCGAACCTCAACTTCAGGTGATAAACCCGACTAGGCTTCCCAAAGTGGTAGATTACAGGCGTGAACCACCTTGCCTGGCCAACAGTACATATTTAACACTACCATCAACAGTCCACTTTCATACATCCTCCTATTATCAAACTTCTTAATTTGTGCTCTAATCTGCTGGAAAGAAAATGGTATTTTAACGATTCTCATGACTCCTAAAGTTGAGCATCTATTTATGTTTACTTGCTGTTTCCACTTCTGAGTCTATGAATTGAATGTTCATTTCTTTTGCCTTTTTTTTTTTTTGAGACAGGTTCTCACTGTGTTGCTCAGGCTGGAGTGCAGTGGTGTGATCATGGCTTGCTTGCAGTCTCAAGCAAGAGACTGGGCTAAAGCAATCCTCCCACCACAGTCTCCCAATGAGCTGGGACCATAAGCACATACCACTACATCCAGCTAATTTTAAAAATTAGAGACAGAGGTCTCCCTATGTTGTCCAGGCTTAAACTGAGGTGACATTTTTAGCACACTGGAAGACAGGTCAGAAAACATCCAGAATGAAGCAAATTCAGGATATAGGAGCACTGGGCAAGGGGTAGGGATGAGGGATCCTAGTATGTTTAATGGGATTCTCAGGACAAGAGAGAATGAAATGGAATTAATGTGTGAAAAAAGAGGCCCCAAATTTAAGAGAGGTTTATAACCTCAAGCAGCATAAATGAAACAGGAAAAGCAGGGGGGTGGGGATGGGGGGGTGATGACAAAACCCTACATGAGGTGCCTCCCAACAAAATTGCTGAAAAACCAAAAAGAAAAATGACTAAAGGCAGCTAGGGAAGGCATGATGTATTTGAAAAAGAGAAAATAAGAATGATAATAGATTCCTCAAAGAAACTTTAAAACCAGAAGATAACTGGTTATCTTTAAAGTGTTGGTATTAAACAACTATGAAAATTCCATAACCAGTAGAAAGATCCTTTTAAGGCTGGGCACAGTGGCTCACACCTGTAACCCCAGCACTTTGGGAGCCCGAGGCAGGTGGATCGCCTGAGGTCAGGAGTTCGAGACCAGTCTGACCAACATGGAGAAACCCCATCTCCACTGAAAAAAAACGAAATTAGCTGGGCGTGATGGTGCATGCCTGTAATCCAAGCTACTCGGGTGGCTGAGGCAGGAGAATCACGTGAACCTGGGAGGCTGAGGTTGCAATGAGCAGGGATAGCACTGTTGCACTCCAGCCTGGGCAACAAGAGCGAAATTCTGTCTCAAGAAAAAAAAAGAACATTTTAAAATAGAGTCAAAATAAAGACATTGTCACACAAAAATGAACTCACTGAACCTGAATTAAAGTATATTCTTCAAATAGAATGACAGTGATCGCAAATGGAAGACTGGAGATGCAGGAGAATAAAGCGTGATAGTAACTATAAATATGTATGTAAATTGAGGATCAGCAGGATAGCACTGTAAAACACAAAATATTCTGTGGAGTCTGAGCTTTAGAGAGCATTTCAATACATTACCACAGTAACATTTAAGTCAGGAGGAAGTTAAAGCCCAGAAAGAGGTAACTCCTCGGCCTGGTGCCTGGTGTGGTGGTTCACGCCTGTAGTCCCAGCACTTTGGGAAGCTGAGGTGGGCGGATCATGAGGTCAAGAGATTGAGACCATCCTGGCCAACATGGTGAAACCCCGTATCTGAAACAAAATGCATCTCTACTAAAAATACAAAAATTAGCCAGGCATGGTGGCAGGTGCCTGTAGTCCCAGCTACTTGAGGCAGGAGAATCACTTGAACCCAGGCGGCAGAAGTTGCAGTAAGCCGAGATCGTGCCACTGCACTCCAGCCTGCCGACAGAGAGAGACCCTGTCTCACACACACACACACACAAAAGAAAGGTAACTCCTCTATGAAGAAAGAGGTAACTCCCTTATGTCAGACTTTGTAATAAGTCCAGGATACACACTGTGGCCTTTAAGGTAAAGACAACAAGACAAGTAGAACAACTTGTAACCACCAAGCTTAAAGAGAGAAGAGCAGAAGAATTTAAAATGCTCTAATAATTTGAAAAAAAAGAACACAGAACAGGCCATCAAATAAACGGAAGACACCAATATGTAGATTTAAACTCAAATATATTTTAGGAATTACATTTAAGAAGCAAATGAGGCTCAGTCTGTGTAGCTACCTATTTATTTATGCTACTCACTCCAAGAAAGATTTTTAGGAGCATGAACATGTGAGTAGGTAGGTGACTGCCAGGCAGAAACAATGAAGGACATTTTTACTGCAGAAAAACAGCATACAGAAAGACAAAGAAGTTTAGAGTGGCATGGAGGAACTGTTGAGTGTCTACAGTTTAAGAAGCATCAGAAGAAACCGCAGGAAGTGTACCTGGAGAGGCAACTAAGGAATAGCTGAGGGGAAAGTGGCCTCTGTACGTGTTAAGAACTATGGAGTTGACCCTCAAGGGGATGGAGCATACTTGATAGATTTTTAGCACATAATGACACGGACAGACTTGTATTTTAGAAAGTTCACTCTAGCAGCTATAGAGACAATCAGAATTTGGAAGCAGATGTATAAGAGAGACTGAAGATAAGAGAGGTGATTAGCTAGGGGGCTGGCATAAAAGATGACAAGGGCCTGAACACACGCAGTGACTTTAGGGGCGGACAGCAGAGTACAAACCACGCATGGAGACTGAATGAATGTTGTGGCACATAAATGGGTTAACTGGATCATGAAGAAAAACAGTTTCCATTTAAATAATTCACATTACTATTGGAGGCAGAGAAGTGCTCTTTTTAAAAAAGTAATGAAATGAGGAATGTCTCTCTGAAGCAGGACAGGCATTTAGAGCTGGCCTGAGCAAAATCTGGAAAATCTAAACTGGCTGCTTGGTGAGCAAAGAATTAGAGAAAAAGTTAATGGTATAGTTTTAATGTTTAATGGCATACGGCAGTAGCAGACTAAGCATTTTAAAAGGTTAAATTTGCTTAGCAAGAGAGGTCTTCTCACACACTGCCATCTACACCATAGAGTAAAATATAAGAGCAAACACAAATAGTAACTGCCACAGACAACCTATTTTTAGAGAATTCAGATGTTTTTGTGGAGAAAATACTTGAATTATAAAAATACAGTTTTCAAAAGATACCTAGCTCAAAATTTGAGATGTGCATTTCAGAAGATTAGTATCTAAATATATACACCAAATAGTTCTATATTCAACACTCCTCATCTTTGCCACAATTATGTTTAGTCTGAATATTTGACTCTGTGAAGTCCAAAACTTAATGTACCTTTAGTAAGTAAAATGTCCTTTTTTGAAGTTTTTATTCTACTAAAACATGTCGTACAAATCACTCAGACTTTTTAAAGGAAATTACGTAATTGACCACAAAGAAAGGAAAGTGAAATAAGTGGTGGAGCCACAGAAAAGGCGTGGACAGATCTTCAAAAGAGAAGCACTTCCACAGCAGGAACTGTCAGTCCCAGTCAAATGCTCCCTCTTACATGAGCTACAGGCAGCAGTTTCTGACAACTGGTTAGGAAGGAAAGAAAAATGCAGGTTATGAGAAACAAAGCAGATAGGAAGAAAGACAAATTTGTACTAATTAGAGATGGAAAGAAGGATAAATAATCCTAAAAAAGATAACACTGTCTATATTAGTACACCTTTATTTAGTCACATGACAGTGAACAGTAAATGAAAACCTTACTTTTGCAAAGCCATCTCCTTCTGCTGATACAGTTCACTCAGAATCTCCACTTTCTGCCTCAGGGTTCTGTTCTCATCTTCCAGTCCAACTTTGGCAGATTGTAGTGAGTTGCGGTCATCTTCCAATTTCTTTATCTGGTCTGCAAAGGGTCAAACATTTGAGCTCTATGTGTGTGCACAAGAACTTGAGAACTTGGTTGGGGTTTTGGTGCGGAGAGGAATGAGAAGTATGAAAGCAGGAAACCACTCTTTATCTGTCTAATGCAATTTCGCATCTTTCTGATATACAGCAATTTCTTCTCAAGAAGCAACCTACCTTCCAGGTTACATTTAGTGGACCTGGAGGCTCTTAGCTTAGATCGTAAAAGGTTTAGATCCTCTTCAACTACCGATATTGCAGTCTGTGTCTAAAAATTACAGAAGACAGAAGTATTTATATAAGTGAGACACAGTAAAAGCATTCACGGGCACTTATGGGACTCTAAAAAAGGATTATACCCGAGAGACATCCATCATCTGCTGAATTTGATTTTTCATCTTCTCTTTCCGGTCACCTAAAAAAGAAAAGACTTTCATTGCTTTTTCTTCTCTTGCGTTTTAAATCTGTATTTTCTTGATTTATGCAAAACTAAATAATTATCATATTCAAACATTTAAAGAACAAACAAAAATAGAACAGGATTAGACTGACTTTTAAGAGAACTGCAAACCTAAATTCAAAAAGTGAATTCCCATTTGCACAATAAACATGTTATACATGCCATTCTTGAGCAAGAAGAAACATGTGACATAAAGCTCTTTCTTCAATCTCAGATCTGTCTCCACCTGGGCTTAGTAAGTGTCTCATTCAGAAAGATTCCCTCCTATTCTCCTCCAGAGTTGGCTATCAGGTGTGGTTTAAAACACTCACTACGTAAGTAATATCCAACCGAGAGACGACATCTAGAAACACTTTCCTCATCAGTAAACACTGCTACCCTATCTTCTACTCTTCTCCTACCCCATCTTCCACTGCTTCTACTCTCGTGGCCTTAGTTTTTAAATCCAACCACCTCAGTACTCTTTTTTTTTTTTTCTTTTTTTTTAAGAGACGGAGTTTTGCTCTTGTTACCCAGGCTGGAGTGCAATGGCGCCATCTCGGCTCACTGCAGCCTCTGCCTCCTGGGTTCAGGCAATTCTCCTGCCTCAGCCTCCCGAGTAGCTGAGATTATAGGCACACGCCACCATGCCCAGCTAATTTTTTTGTGTCTTTAGTACAGACGGGGTTTCACCATGTTGACCAGGATGGTCTCGATCTCTTGACCTCGTGATCCACCCGCCTCGGCCTCCCAAAGTGCTGGGATTACAGGCTTGAGCCACCGCGCCCCGCCCCACCTCAGTACTCTTAAAATCAGTTGTGGTTTTCTCTCATGGCCTTAGTTTATGCCTCCAATCACCTTAGTACTCTTAAAACCAGTTGTGAGCCTTAAAATCAAACAGCTCCTGAGATAACGAGTTTTAAAATGTTATCTCCATGAAATTGAGAAATACAGTTTCTACTACTGTGTATGTTCAATACTTAGAGGTGTAAGACATGACCAGTGCAGCTCCCGTGCACCTTCTAGTCTCAATGGGATATAAAAACACAGTCAGTGTTCCTTGCATGCTTATTGCTACACCATACCCTAGCAATTCACCTCTGCCCAATGCAAATAGACATATACACAAATCCAGTGATATGTGTTAACAACTCTAAAGCTTAAGGGGAAATGCAGCCAGCTGAAAAGTAGCATTAGTGTACTTAAAGACAGGAAGGGAAAAGGGGTGCATCCTCCTGGAGACCCATCTTACCTGCTGCTTCTCCACTTGCTAATTCATCTGAATCATTTCCTCCTTTATGTTGACCCTCAGATTGAGAGCAATTCTCCTGCCTCAGCCTCCTGAGTAGCTGGGATTACAGGCATGCGCCACCATGCCCAGCTAATTTGTTGTATTTTTAGTAGAGAAGGGGTTTCACCATGTTGACCAGGATGGTCTCGATCTCTTGACCTCGTGATCCACCCACCTCGGCCTCCCAAAGTGCTGGGATTACAGGCTTGAGCCACCGCGCCCGGCACAATAGTGCCCCCTTTATCCACGGGTTCATTTTTCATATAATTATTCAATTTTATTACTAGTTATTGTTAATCTTTTACTGTGCCTAATTTATAAATTGAACTATATCATAGGTATGTATAGGTAAAAACATAGCACACATACACAGGCTTCAGTACTATCCGTGGTTTCAGTCATCCACTGGGGGACTTTAAATCATATCCCATTGGATTAAAGGTAACTACTGTAATTAATTGCTTACTGCCTGTATCAGTTACTAGAATCCTAGCTTTCTGGGAAAAGGTATTCTCTTTTGTTCTCTAATGCTCAACACCCTGCGTGGCCGGCATTTAAAAGACTAACAAATATTTGTTGAACGGATAGATGAATGCGTGAATGAAAAACCAAACGAACAATGAAAACAGAAGTGTATATAATACATTATAACACGTACTACATTGGGCTTGCATAGTACTATGGGAATTTATAGCAGGAGCATTGTAAAGCCAGCCTTGACCGGGATAATCTCCGGAAGAGCAATTAATCTTTTCAAAATCCGACTCTTGGAGGATACGGTCCCCCACTGGCCTGCCACTAGTTGAAAACGAATTATTTTCTGTGAAACACCAGGATCGTGCCAATAGGGCATCAGGAAGACTGGCTGAATGAGTCAAAGGCCTGCGCGGACAAGTCCAATTAGAACACCTCTGGCTAAAAGCCAGAATGAATGAAAGGGTTCATTGCTGGGCGTAGATGCGGTACCAGGAGTGGAAATCTGCCCGAAGCCTCCACGTCGACGTTGATCACCCGCAGCAACGGCGCCGCGGTCACGTGACCCCCCCCCCACTCAGTCCCCTGGGCCTGCCTGCGCCTGCGCATTACTCCCAGACGGCGGACTCGCGTCAGTAACGGCTTCCGGCTTGGTTGCTCCGCCTCCTGCTTGGCTAGAGCAGTCGGGGCTCGGCGGCGGCCGCGTTGGGGTGGAGGGGGCAGGGCGTGGTGAGGTGAGGTGAATGTCGTAGTGGGGTTCCCCCGAGCCATGGCGTGCTCCATTGTCCAGTTCTGTTACTTCCAGGACCTCCAGGCCGTCCGGGACTTCCTCTTTCCTCACCTCCGGGAGGAGATCCCCAGCGGCGCGGTGCGGAGGGACCCCAGTAAGTGCCTCTAGCCTCGCCGTCCCTTCCCGACCTCTGCTCCGCTGCTTCGGGTCTCCTACTCGCTCTGCGCCGTCTGCCTCTGCCCACCGGACCCTCAGTTCTCCCCGGGCCTCCCTTCCGCACCGGGATGATCCCCTGCCCCCCTCGTCCTAAAGCTCCGTTTGTGTTGTCTTCCTCTCGACCCATCTTTTCTCCTCAGATTCCTGGCCCAAAACTGCGTCTTGCTTCCTCCCTCCCCCCCGACCCCCACCACATTCCTAGCTCTCTCTCTGAGCATCGTCTCCATCTCCCCATCTTCAGCCTGGGGTCGTCCCCTATTTCATGTTGCCTGCTCCGTGACCGCATTCTCCCTGTTCCTTGCCAGATGTCAGCGCTCCACTCTGATATTGCCCCAGCGGCCACTCTCTCCCATCCCGGGGACTATGGCCTTCTGCCACCTCCCCTTCCGAAAGTGTTCATCATCCCCCCATACTCTCCCTTCTTCCCTCCGCGTTTCCCCCAACAAATGGCTGACTGACAAATGAGTGTCCCTTGAGGTGGTAAGACTCTTAAAGAAGGAAAATACCTGTCAGGAAGTGAGCGAGAATCTACCTTAGGAACCAAAATTACAGTGACACAGCCAAGAAAGGTTAATTTGCTTTATTGGGATGAGAAGCCTTCCACCTATTTTTATCATCAAAGTGTTAAATAAGCCCTTCCCCACATAGTATAAAGTTCCAGGGCTGGTTAATTAGACACTACATAGGTTCTCAGAATTTCCTACGTTTCATCTTTTGAAAAGGTGTGCCTTCTCTTTTGTTTGTGCATTCCCAGCATGAAGCACATTTGACTTTGTAGTACAGTGCTCTCACTTTGTGCTATACTAGAATGGTGATGTAAGGCCCACTTAGCTCTTTTCTCTTTTTTTAAATTTAGAAGATATCAAATCAGCCCCCTCTGTGAGTGATTACATACTCTGTGCCAATCATTGGTGCTAAAACCAAATAAGGCCTCTAGGAACTTGTGTTGTACAGACACATCATTAGCTGCCATTCACTGTGATTGAGATATATATGAGGCACTTTGTTGACGTGGCGATACTTAAGCCTACCTTTGAAGTACTAGTTAGAGGCATGAAGGAGTGGTACTAGCATGTGCAGAGGAAGGGAGGCCTGACATGGCATGGTATTTAGAGAACTAAGAAAAGGTGAATGGCTGGAGAGGAGGATGTGAGGGGAAGAGTTGGGGCAGTAAGGCAGTCATAGTAATAAGGAGCTAGATCATGAGAAGCCTTGTGAAAGTTGTGGCATTTCTCGGAAAGTTTAAGCAGAGAATTGACATTGTCAGATTTGTACTTAATGTAATCAACCTTTGTTGAAGACCTGTAATGTGCTTTGGTAGCAAACTGGAGGAGAGATTGGAAGAAGGGAAATGGATTGGGAGGCTCTTCCAGTAATCCAAGCAAGAAATGATGTGAGCTTGAGCTAACAGCCTTAGCAGGATGAAGATGATGGACTAGATTAGAAAGATGTGAAGGAGTTAGAATCTGCAGGTGACGGGCATTGTAACTAGTCAGTGAGGGAGTTTCGGAAGCCTTTGGCTTCTGGTTTGGGCCGGTGTATGTAATAAGATAATGGAGGATACAGGTTTTCAACCTTTTGCATTTTAAATGTTTATGGTATGTCCAAGTAAGGACATCTGGTTAAACACCAGATTTAGATAATCTAAACAGTAGGGAGTAATGGGCCAGAGATGTTATTTGGGGAACTGACAGCAAAAAGCATCAATTCAGTCTCAATTATGTATGTTTTGAAATGCCCTGAGTAGTGAAGCCATAAGCTTAGAGGAGCACTGGTGTTTGTTTAAAAGTCAAATAGAGGTTACTGGGAAGAAAACCAAGAAGGAGTAAAAGAAAGAGGAAGATCAGGTGAGAGAAGACCCTCGGAGCTGAGGAAGGTGAGAACCTGATGAAGGTGAGGAATGATCAGTTTTGCAAATGCAGCAGGGGTTAGGTTCCTCAAAAAATTAAAAAGAATTATCATATGATCCAGTTATCCCAGTTTAGGGTATATATACAAAAGAATTGAAAGCAGAGTCTTGAAGAGATGTTTCCACACCCATGTTCATAGACATGTCACAGTAGCCAAGAGGTAGAAGCAACCTAAATGTCGGTCAATTAATGAATGGATAAACAAAATGTGATATATACACACAATGGAATACTATTTCGCCATTAAAATTAAGGAAATGTCACATACTAGAACATGAATGAACTTTGTTAAATTATGCTAAGTGAAATATGCCAGTCACAAAAAGACAAATACTGTATGATTCCACTTACATGAGGAATCTAAAGTCGTCATTGATAGGAACAAAAAATAAAATGGCAGTTACTAGAGGCCGAAGGAAGGGAGAACAGAGGACTTGTTTAATGGACGTAGAGTTTCAAATTTGCAAGATGAAGTTCTGGTGATCGTTTTTACAACAGTGTGAATACACTTTACTGAACTGTTCACTTAAAGATAGTTAAGATGATAAATATATTATGGGTTTTTTTTAACCAAAATACAAAATGTCAATTAGATTGATAATAAATAGATTATTTAAAAATGAGACAAAGCTGCTAATGTTGGAAAGTGACATAGGTTCCAATAGGAAGAAACCTACGTCAGGCCCTACTTGACTGCTTTTACTGCTAAAAGGATCAATATCTTGGCTCACCTGTAACCCATTTGCAGCATGCTGAGAATCTGCTATGGGCAGAGTAGTCATTGGTGGTTTTAAGTAAAAGTATAGCAAAAGTATTCTAAGGTTTGTGTTTTAAACAGATAGGTTTGGTAGCTGTTGAGAGAATAGATTGGGCAGTTCAAAGCTAGAGGCAGGTGATCATTAGAGAGATAGTTGTAGAAGTTCAGGTTAGAGCCAATAAAGGCAGAACTCAGGTAATAGCAATGGCAGTGGAGTTTGAGATGATTAAAATTTGTGCTGAGAAATAGGATAGCCAGACAAATATTGTAGAGGCATTTTTTTGTCGGCAAAGAGAAGAATGGACGGGAGTGATAGGTAAAAGCAGAAGTAGAGTGACCAGTTAGGAGGCTGTTGCAGTATTCCAGAAGAGATTATCTTTTCCTTAACATAGATTTCCTAAGAGGTTATTTTATAGTATACACAGTAACAATCCTAGAAGTATGACAAGTACTTTTGAATGACTACTATGCTTAATACAGTTTGGGACTATTGAGACCTTAAATGAAGAGTAAGTCATTGGACCTTCCTCATACAGAAGAATTCTTGAAACTCCTAGATATCTGCTGTGATCATATCTTATCTTTAAAAAAGAGACCAGAAATGGCCCCTTGACCACAGATTACTTTTCTTTGTACATTGTAAGTCTAGGTCTCACATATAAGTTCCCCAGAAGAGAGTGTCTCATCAGGTCAAAAGAGTAGACATTACTTATTATCACATTGTCATCGTCCATCCCCTCCCTGTCCCCTACTCCTGCTTTTAATTAAGGTCTGTAAAATCAGACATAGAAGCCATCACCTGGCTACTCATACTCTCCCTTTCAGATGTTAAAATCTTAGTACTGTGCTGTTTAATATGGTAGCCACTGGCTACATATGGCTATTTACATTTAAGTTTAGATAAATAGTAATTAAATTTTAAAAATTCCTCAGTCACAGTGGCCACATTTGAAGTGCTCAATAGCCACATGTTGCTAGTGGCTACCATATTGATCAGCACAATATAGAATATTTCCATTATTACAGAACATTCTATTGCAAGTATTGCCTTAGTGAGACTTGTATTCCTTCTTCAACTTTTAAGTTCAGGGGTGCATGTGCAGGATGTGCAGGTTTATTATATATATAAATGTGTGTCGTGGTGGTTTGCAGCACAGATCACCCCATCACTCAGTTATTAAGCCCAGCATTCATTAGCTATTCTTTCTAATGTTCTCCCTCCCCGCTCCACCCCAACAGACCTTGGTGTGTTTTGTTCTCCCCCATGTGTTCATGTATTCTCATCATTCAGCTCCCACTTATAAGTGAGAACGTGGTGTCTGTTTTTCTGTTCCTGCATTAGTTTGCTGAGGATAACAGCCTCCAACTCCATCCATGTCCCTGCAAAGGACATAATCTTGTTTCTTTTTATGGCTGCATAGTATTCCATGGTGTATATATACCACATTTTTCCTTATCCAGTCTATCATTGATGGACATTTAGGTTGATTCTGTGTTTTTACTATTGTATAGTGCTACAGTGGAAATATATGGGCATGTATCTTTATAATAGAATGATTTATATTCCTTTGGGTAATATACCCACCCATAGGATTGCTGGGCCAAAAGATACTTCTGCCTCTAGGTCTTCGAGGAATCACCACACTGTCTTCCACAATGGTTGAACTAATTTACACTCCTACCAACAGTGTAAAAGCATTTTTTCTCTGCAACCTTACCAGCATCTGTTGTTTTTGGAATTTTAACAATGGTCATTCTGACTGGCACAAGATGGTAACTCATTGTGGTTTTGATTTGCGTTTCTCTAGTGATATTGAACTTTTTTTCAGTATGCTTGTTGGTGACATGTATGTCTTCTTTTGATAAGTGTCTATTCATTTCTTTTGCCCTTTGTAATGTGGTTGTTTTTTCTTATAAATTTGTTTAAGTTCCTTGTAGACTCTGGGTATTAGACTTTTGTCAGATGGCTAGGTTGCAAAAATTTTCTCCTATTCTGTAGGTTATCAGTTCATTCTGACAGTAGTTTCTTTTGCTGTGCAGAAGCTCTTTAGTTTAGTTAGATCCCATTTGTCAATTTTTACTTTTGTTGAAATTGCTTTCCTGTCTTTATCATGAAATCTTTGCCTGTGTCTGTGTCCTGAGTGGTATTGCTAGATTTTCTTCTAAGGTTTTTATAGTTTTGGGTTTTAGTTTTAAATCTTTAACCCATTTTGAGTTAAATTTTGTATATGGTGTAAGGAAGGGGTCCAGTTTCAATTTTCTGCATATGGC